AGATGATTCAACAAGCTGACATAGGAATTGGCATTAGTGGTAGAGAAGGACTACAGGCAGCTAGGGCTGCTGATTATAGCATTGGGAGTAAGTATTGCTGCTCATGTCCAATGTGTGTTCTTTTCTGGTTTGGATGTTTGCATGGACATCAAATCATTCGTACTTCACGGCTATAAATATGTAGAATGTGTGGTCATTTGAAGAAACAATGTTGCTAATTCAGAAAATAGATTCCTTTTGGACTTCTTTTGTTGAAAATGCCGAAAGATTTTGGGTTCTATGGGCTGGACCGCTGGTACTTCACACCTAGGAAGCACGAACACTCTCCGGGGGCCTCCGTGTCTGTGTCGGCCACCGACACTCATTCAACACTTTTTTTTTTATTATTTATTCATTTGTGGATTTGAATCAAATTAATTTGATTAATAATCATAAAAATGATAATTTATCATGTATATATATATATATATATATATAGACATTTAAAATACAATGTGTCCCAACGTGTCAGAATTCTCTATATTTTGAGAAATGACATGTTGGCATGTCATGTTGTGTTGTGTCGTGTGTCGATGTCGGTGCTACTTAGCTTCACACCTTATTAAGGGTATTAAGTTGCTATTTCTTCTGTGGAAACTGACCTCTGCTGTAGATAATCATGACTCTATGCAGTCTCAGCTATACGCAGTAGTAACGTCGTGTGGGCAGCACTTTTATTATCTAACCATAAAGAAGTTCACATTATTCCGATGGAGAGACCGGTGTGCTGGGAAGTTCTACCTGTAGAAACGGGAATAGTAGGATGGTCTGTGAAAGTGGGGAGATTATTAGATCTAAAATTTCTCTGAAATTAAATGGGGATGACCAGTATACATATTTGGGTCTGGTCAACAAGTTTCATGTTCCAGGAGATCATTTCATCTGGCTCAACCTTTGAAATACTTTATTATTGGGATTATTCTTTCAGAATATGTGGCATGTATTGTTTTATAGTTTCCTCTATGTGCTTGCTGCCATGGGACTTCTAAATGTTGACTTTCTGACTGGTGTCTACAGAATTCAGATTTCTGAAAAGATTGATACTGGTTCATGGGCGATACTCCTACAACCGAACAGCATTTCTCTCGCAGTATTCTTTCTATAAATCATTACTCATATGTTTCATCCAAATCTTGTGAGTTCCCATCATTATGGTTCCTCTCTCTCTCTCTCTCTCTCTCTCTCTCTCTCTCTCTCTCTCTCTCTCTCTCTGTACTGTGTCTCTGTGCTTGCATGCTCTTGTGCATGCATGTACACCTTACGCTTGTACCTGTTGTTCTAACACAAACACACTACCAGTTTCTCCTTCGTATCAGGTATTTCTGGAACCAGTCTTTTCAACTCGGTTAGTTTGATGGCCTACAATGTTTTCTACACCAGCATCCCTGTCTTAGTTAGTGTACTTGACAAAGATGTTGGTGAAGAGACCGTTATGCAGCATCCACAAATTCTTTTTTACTGCCAAGCTGGGAGGTGTGTCCTCAATTTGTTGTGAGATCATGAGCATAGGATTTTACTCTCTTTTGGCTCTCGGTGCAGAAAATTTTCTTTAACGTTACTTCTTGAAACAGGCTTCTGAATCCTAGCACATTTGCTGGATGGTTTGGACGATCACTTTTTCATGTAAGTGCAAATTTAGACCGTTTCTTGTTCTGTGATTTTACTTTTTCAGAAAGATTAGCTGACCGCAGGTTCTTTTCTCTGATTCAACAGAATTGAATAATAATTTTGTTGATCAAATTATAGGAACAGCTAATGGTGACCCCCTGAACTTTGGAAAAATATCTAAGATGCCATTGTATGAGTATGGAATTTCATATTCTCTTTTCGATATGAAATTCTAGTATATATGAGTACCCTTTTGGTTGCCTTAAGTGAAACGAAGTCATGGCTATGTGATTGTACACTGAGAAGGTCGTCTTTGGATATACCACAGTCATTTGCCAGCTTCATTCCTTGGAAGGCCAAATATTCAAGTAATACATTTTAGCCTGTTAGAGGATTCGGTCTTGTGTGAAATAAAGCAATTGGACATTACACAATTTAATTGACTGCTGGCTCGTGCTTGTTATTCTGTGTTTAATGAATGTGGCTTGTAAATGCAGGCGGTTGTTGTATTTGCCATCAGCATGCGTGCATATGCTTTTGAGAAGAGCGAAATGGAGGAGGTATCTATGGTAGCGCTCTCTGGATGTATATGGTTGCAAGCCTTCGTGGTGACACTGGAAACAAAGTAAGCTTCGCGATATTCACTGTTTTGCTACTATAAGTTTGGCTTTTTTCGATACTTCATGTTCCTAGTGAAAAAATTAATGGGTCATGGCTTCATGCTGAGTTATTTGTTATGCAGTTTTTTCTTTGACTGCTTGTCAATTGGTAATACCTTAAACTTCGATTGCAAATGCAGCTCGTTCACTATATTGCAACATCTCGCCATATGGGGAAATTTGCTTGCATTCTACATCATGAACTGGATGTTCAGTGCCATCCCTTCATCAGGGATGTATACGATAATGTTCCGGTTGTGCCAACAACCGTCTTACTGGCTAACTATGTTGGTGAGTATTTGTTTTGTTGATGCATGTTCCATTTGGGCTCAATTATCTCTCTTTTTAGCAGTCAATTATGGCGAAGCTATTCTACAAGAAAGGATTATCAGGTTAAGGTAATCGCACAAAATTAAGATGATATGGCAGCGGTGACCGAAATAATTACTACATTGCATATTTTTCTCTGTACATTTTCACTGTATCTCCTCTAAACCCGAGCAATACGATCTGGACAAGTGCAAATGAACCAAAATGCACTCTTGATGCTAGATTAAGGTTGCGTGCGCTCTTTCTAACCGAACAAGTTTTTTTTTTTTTTTTCATCTCGCAGGTCATAGTCGGAGCAGGAATGGGTCCTATTCTAGCTCTTAAGTATTTCAGATATACATACAGACCTAATCAAATCAATAAACTCCAGCAGGCCGAACGCATGGGGGGACCGATTTTGTCCCTGGGAAACATAGAACCACAGCCAAGGTCGACAGAGAGGGACGTTTCTCCGTTGTCAATCACTCAACCCAAGAACAGAAATCCAGTCTACGAGCCTTTACTTTCGGATTCTCCCAATTCCACCAGGAAGTCTTTCGGGGCCGGAACCCCCTTCGATTTCTTTCAGTCGCAGACTAGATTGTCTTCGAGTTACTCGCGAAATTGTAAGGACAACTAGATCGCCAATTCTTTTTTCTTTCTCTATCCTATTGGAACTTGTATAGCACCCTCTTTATCCAATTGCTTTTACGGAAGAACGATCTTTTGTATGGAGATATTAGAGTTTGTATAATAGAAGGAACACTTTTACTATGCTTTTAGGAATGATCAAAGTATATTTTCGCACTTCTTACCTTACCAAAAAAAAAAAAAGTATATTTTCGCAGCTATTGACCATGGACGCAATCGATCATACTTATCACATCGCCTAGACAATTATCATAATCGCATAACAATTACTATGGATGAATTGGGAGCAACTGCATGTTATATATTAGGTTTCTAACTACGCCTGAAGTTCACCAATTGTTACTGTTCAAACTTAGTTTTTACCAACTATAAGAAGTTGCTAACTGTAGATAGGTTGGAAATTACCTTTCTCATTGCAAATTTGCTAATAGAAACGAAAATAACAAACATTTATAGATACTTTCACGATGTAAAACTACAACTAGTCACTGCGAAAAATAGGTATAATTCAACCCCAGAATGAGCTGGTTGAAGCTGGTAGAGCTGGTAATTCGTGGATTTTAGGGAGGGAATCGGTCCGAATATGTTGCCTAGCACATGGGCAATGCGGTTGGTTCTAGTTGTAACTCGATCGAACCGGTCTTTGGGCCTATTTTCTAATTCGAGTTTGTGCCGATTCGAACAACTAGACCTCAAATGCTCCGGCCGAGACCCAATCTAAATAAATTTTATATTAAAAATAGGAAATAAAGAATTTTTTTTTATTGAGAAACCCAAATGAAGCCATGGACCATAAGAAATTTATGATCACACATCAAACGGCCCAAAAACAATCGGGCAGTGCTCCTTAATTGGGGGTATAGGGCCAGCAAGCTGGTTAAGGAGTACTGTGCAAAGCACAGGCTGACCCTACAGGACCGAAACTCTCCTCTTGTTACCTCAGGCGTGAGAGGCTACCATACATGTCTACCTAGCGGTAACCAACCAAAACTAGCCTGGAGTCTATCATAAAGTCTATAGACCCTAGTTTTTCTTTTGACATCTTTTTCTCTATGTCTCTTTTTTCCTGTTCTCTCCAACTTTACTCAAACACTTCATGACTCTCTCTCGCTCGCGATTGACCCTCCTCCTTGCCATCGCTCATTCGAGTCTCACAACCCTTGCTCGATTTTTACTCACCTTTGCTCGCTCGACCACGTTCATCTTTTACTTTGAACCGTTTTGGTGCTCATATTATTTTGCTTTAAATAATGAAACCCAAAAAAGGAACAAAGGAAAAAACAGGTTCTCAGGTAGACTTTAGACTCATACCGAAATATAGGATAGACTCTAGAGAGCTTGAGGGCAAACAGAGTAGGTTCAAGGTTGCAAAAACTAAGAACCGCTTCTAACATGGTAAATTTCAGCTTAAACTTACCTACCCATCCTTAAACCTATTACCCCTACCCGTATCTACTACTTGATTGTACGTAAAAGTCTTAAAGTTGGAGTATAGAAGAACGGGACTTCGGCGCTCTCGGGCCCAACCGATTCAGTTTGGTCGGGTTGACTTTTCTACTTAAGGCCAAGCTATAGTCACGCCCAGTCTTTTCGCATAGGGCCAAAAGATCCCTCTAGGCCCCTCCTGGCCCGTTTGCACCCGTTCCGCCGCCAAGGCAAGGCCGAACGTGTGCAGCTGAAGGTCCTGAGTCGTGCGAGGATCGGACGTCTGATCTGAAAAATCTCAAGCAAGACTTACACCGAGACCATCTCGATGAATTGATCATTAGTTGCTTCTTGAGTGAATTGATTCCTATTCGAATACTCAATCCAGAGACATCAACACGTAATATTTGACTGCTGACCTTCTAATATAATCTGGTAATAACAATTTGCAGTAAAATCAGCAAGGGAAGAAAAACCTAAGAAAGTAACCAATAATGTGTGCCTTTATCAACTAACATGTACTCTAAGCTCAACTGGCAATCCCGTCCACCTCTCTACATATATATGTATATATACGAGTATGTGAGAGTTTACTTAAATATTGCTGAAGAAGCCCATGGAACTCGTCAGGAGTTGGAGGTTCGTTTCTGCTGGAATCCTAGAATCTGCAACAAGATATATTTGCTCATTGAAAGGACCATTCATAAACGTCCTTGGAGATATATAGTAGCAGAAATATGAGGTTACTGATAAATGGTGCCAGAAATTAAAAAAAATGGAAAATTGCCAAGAAACTCCATTGTGGCATTAACTTACCAGGATGTCACTGATGGATCCATTGTCTGCAATTATCCCTGCTAGCGTCGCTTCCTTTTCCAGAATTTGCAGCTCAGCCTTATGCGGATCAACAACAGGTAGAACATTTTCATGTCCGCTTCCTAAGGAGAAAAGGTTCAGGCTAGGTCCTTGACGGCTGATGTTATGGTTCCCTTTGACCATCAATATTTCAACTTCTTCAGTTTGCAGAGGTGTTTGTTGAGCAACATACTGCAGAGTAAAAAACTCATCTTACAAAAAGAAAGGAGACCAGCGGCCAAAACAAAAAAGACGACCATATTCTACAATGCCAAAGATTGCAAAAGGTTAAGTCAGATTGAATACCTCCAAGCCCTAACCCGGGAAAAAGAAAAAGAAGACAGATTGAATCTGAAGTTACCCATTGAAATATTCAACCAAGAGTGCATTCTTGAAGTCAACACTATATGAGTACTCTTTTTAGAGTTCTCCTGGCCCAAATATACGATTTCGAGAATAGGCCAATTTCAAAATAAAGGGAGAAATGAGAGCTTAAAAGCACCATATCATCTATGATTGCAAAATTCAACTTCATTAAGCTTGTGACATTTTTACTGAGGCCAAACACTGAAGACAAATTGCGTGCGTGTTATTGCTAGTTGAATTTTTACTTAAAATCACCGTTTGAACATGTGTCATTAAGAAGTCAAACAAACAACTATCTCCAGATGCAGGGCCCCAGCAAATCATAGACATAATCACAACGATCTTGATGAAAAAATAATACACTACTGCAGGAGGTGTGAATGATGAATAATAATTGAAGCATATTTGCAATTCAGATAGCAGGAGAAAATCTTACATCACATAGATGTTTAACTGACAGACTTCGCCTACTGCAAAGGTAGGGCTGCTTCAGACTTGGAGTACTTTCTTTATCCAAAGAAACAAGCATGAAATAAACATCTAACTGTACAAAAAACATCCAAAGTGAGGAGGACCGTAGTGACACATAGAAAGGGAAAAGATATTCCCCATAATTATATACTTCACCAGTTGTGAATCTAAAGACCTAGAAGTTTTCACTTTTATGCCCTCTGTGTGCGTACTTCAGCTAGAAAAAACACTCATTACAAGAGCAACATTCCTCTGTGCTGTGGATTTATCATTGACTTTTGACAAAGTTTGAATGCGTATAGATTACCTCATCATTTTCCTCTAAACTCTTGAGGTACTCAACCAGCTTGGATAGCCGCATGTTCTTGGAGTTCTTGTTGTTACCATTTACGCCACCATGTCTTGTGTGACTTCTCGTACCACCCCTACCCCAAGCAAGCATTTCTGGGTTCCATACGAGCCCAGGAGAAATTCCTCTGGTATCTCTGGTTGCTTCCAAATCATTATCCGGGCATTCAACATCAGCCGATGAAGAAGGTAATGATGAACGTACTCCTGTCCTTTTTCTCCGACGTCTCTGCCTAACTTCAGTACCACGCTCATCAGCGGAAGATGAATCTTTGCCACCATTACTATCATGTTCATCTTCATTGTCTTCGGAACCTTGATGATCAGTTCCTCGAGAATTCCGTCTTCTTCTAGTAGAAGGCCTTAGATTCCGCTGTGATCTTGTGATAAATCCACCAGCCGGATCTTTACCCAGCGTGCGTCTTTTGACAAGTGCTTCTGACTGCCGTTGAAGAATTTGAGCAATGGATGCTTGAATCTGTCAATTCGGAAGATTAGGAGCCTAGCCACTATACATGGACCGACAAAATTTTCGTCGCTGCTAGTATTGAGGATTAGAGATTCCATCAACAACTATTCATAATCATGAAAAGCAAGAAAAAATTACAGCAGTATATATTTCGAATCCAACATGCATGCATTGTGACAATTTTCTCTGGTGTTTGTTTCATATTGAAATATGAGCGAAATGGTACAGCCAGCAAGACAGGCAAACAAGGCCAAAAGATTGATAAGACAAGACAGGCTGACAAATCTGCGTGACAAGTTCAACGACCTGCTTGTTGCGATTTCTCTCCTCTTCATGAAAAGCCAACTCCTGAAACAGGATTGCAGTGAACCAGTCAACAACATGAGAAAACACAACCTAGAACTATCTGATCAAGGAAGTACATAGCTCTGTCGATTTAATACCTCTTCCTCGTATTTGTCGATATCCGGATATAAAGCTGCTATTAAGGCGTCAAAGTTGGGATCATCTCTCAGTGAGCGTCGGCTGGCACAGTGAGTGCGGCAAGCAGGACATTCATTGTTCCTGCACAAAAGTATCAAGCAGAACAACATCTTACCACAATTGTGAGCTGCATAATACATAAAAAGGAAGTTTTTTTTTGGTTTCATACCCCAGTCGCATTGATTTGTCAATGCATTCCCTACAAAAGCGGTGCAGGCATTCCATAACAGTTCTTGTTTTCCGGATGATGCCTGCATAGATGACCAGATTTGAGAACCCTTTCTTGTATGACGTTGTTACCAGATGACAAGAGAAGTAATGCTACGTATCAACTTCGTATGATATATAAGTAGCGTTTCAGAAGTTGCAAGAGCATGATAAAATGGCATAGGTACAATATCCTGCTGATTGTACAAGAAAACCAGAACTAAGCAAAACTATATTGTTAAACCCTCCCCAAAAAGTACTTCGAAATTACCAATAAAACCTTTAATAGGTATGAAAAGTAGACTTCCATCTTTCCCAGATCATGGCCAATCATAGTTTTGAACCTAATAGAAGTTCATCATCCTAATTCTGATTGTCAGTTGGAGTCGTGGTGGATTTACAGAAGTCTGCAACAGTAATCTATCATGATCTCATAACTAAAGCTCAAGATTAGAAATCATTCCACGCTTTTGAAAATCTGTCCAATAATGTATCTTATTCTCATTTCAAAACAACCAGAGAGAGTGGAGAAGACGAAGTAATGGTTTCCCCTTAACGAAATCATAAAATGGCAATTTACGTCTCAGCACAATTAATTTCGGGGAAAATGACGCAAATGGTCCCTAAACTTTGGCCTAATGTGCAATATAGTCCCTGAACTTTTAGTTTGTTCAATGTGGTCATTGAACTATAACAACATTGAACATTTTCATATATTTCAGGGACTAAATTGAATATGTACCAAAAATCCAGGGACCATATTGAACAAATTGAAAGTTCGGGGATCACATTGCACATTGGGCGAAAGTTCAGGAACCACATTGAACAAATTAAAAGTTCAGAGACCACATTGCACATTGGGGCAAAGTTAAGGGACCATTTGTGTCATTATCCCTTAATTTGGCGAAGAGTTCAAAGTCTAAATATATAGAGTCATCATCCAGGGAAATATTGGTCATGATAGAGAAATAATGGTGGAGACAATTTGAATTAAAGCATCTTTTTTAACCAAAGTAGACCATTAAAAACACCAGAGATGTTGATGCTAACATTTCCAAAGAAAACTCCTATCTTTTTATCTCCATAAGCACCATATGAAAGAGAGAAAAATCCTTGTGTACAGGGAGGACACAACCAAGAAGAGAATTAGATCAATAGTTGCTTATACCAATCTAGTGCAGAGAGTCAGAGACTATTTTGTAGTAGGTGTCCTGCACAAAGAACTTAAAATAACTGGGCACATCTAGCCTCTTAAGTTAATGAGATTGCCACGTGCAAAAAAGACATAATTATCTACATAGATTCTGAACTTCAATTCCGACATATCACGAAAACAAAGTTCACCTAGCTCATGATCTTTTTTTCTCCCCCAATCTCCACAGAACACACATTAAGTCATTACGGTTATACGTGATGCAGCAGAAGTCAGCACATGTCATCATCTTTACAAATGATTCATAAAGGATAGTCGCCTGGATGCATTCTATCAAGAAAAAGCTATGCTTATATTAATATTCAGAAATATTTAGATGCAAGATGCCAAGGCAAACAGTACCTAGACAGATTGGGCATTGTACATCTTTACGAATGTCTGATAGTTTTACATAAACAAATCTGCAGGAAACAAGAAAAAATAAGTGATGTCAGCAGTCAATATGGAAAATATATATATATATATATATATATATGGAAATTGCTGATACTCTAAAGGGACCCTATAAGCCAAAAGAGGAGTCTTCATTACCAAACAAGATAAATACAAAAGCTGACAGAACATATCATGCAAGACCTTTTATCTATAGACATAAAGCAAGCAACCGCGTATACTACCCCTAGCCCCCCCACCCCCCACAAAAGAAAAGGAAACCACCGCCACCACAAGCAGGCTCTACCATGTCCTTCCAATTGTCTTCAGATGAATATATGATGACGTTGGGAATAGAATACTTTTATAACCTTGACCTTAAAATTGGGGAAAAAAAAGCTGTCCCCACAATGATGATTACAGATAAAGAGACACAAACTTTGCCACACATGCAGCTCAGTTTTCATGGAGGAGGATTTCTGAACCTGTTGCTGACATTAGCCAAAAGAAGAACAGAGACAAAGCCCAAGACCATGATCCGAAAAACGTACTAGATGTGGACATCACGGATATATGTACTTGCAAACTCTTAAGGTTCATATTTACTGCAATTTTGGTGATATTCCAGTAACCAAAGCTAGATTCTCTCTGCTTTTCGGATTCAAGACGCTTATGAACAGGAACTTCACCCTAAGGAAATCTTTCCAAGATAGGGCTTGCAAGGACTTGATACATTCCCTGAGGTCCTTAAGTTGGATTTTGGGACTATCACTGTCCAAATTCAAACTTTTTCGACAACATCTAGAAATAGAAAGCTATACAGCGTGCATTCTCAGCTGCACCATTTTTTATGAGTAGCTAGAAGGAACTAACGCGAACCAGCTGGACAGGGCCCATTTGGAGATAGATATTGGGATCCAAAGTCCAGTCACAGAATTGAACAATAGCAGCATATATGACCTCATACTTGCATTGGTAAATAGGTTCGATGGACAAAAATATCAGAATTCATCTCTGTAGGGTCTTTACCAACCCAACTTGGACAAAGAGCCCTGAAGAGGCGAGGTATTAAGAAGCAACCACCATAAGAATGTCTTGTACCATGTATATAGACAGAAGTACATGATAACCATGCAAAGGAGCTGAGAGACATGGTCTGTTCGGAGTTATAGACGTCTAGAACAGAGAAGGATATTATCAAAAGCAAGTGATAGGCAACTGCAATGGATGATAAAACTGATGCCCAATATCCTGCAGCAGCCATCTTCCACTCAACTCAAATTATCATCTCTGCCACTTTAATAATGCACTAGTTAATCAGGTGAACTAAGTGAAGGACTCAACACCAGAAACACTTCGTACATCAGCTGTTTAAGTGAAATTTTCCCCATCTTTTGGCACTTTCACGGTTGATAATATCACACCTGGGCTCCATCACTAGTCAAGAATCACTTTCTCTTATTTGTCCAACTGTTCATAGCAACTCAAAGCAGAAACCAAAGTCCAAACGGCATATTGCCTTCTCCTCACTTAAGTCAATAAGTTAATTGATCCTTAACGCATATATATGTCTCTTAATATAGATCTTGCACAATACGTACACCTGAGCAAACTAATGCTTTGACCAAAATCTCACAGCGCGAAGCCTGTCTTGATATTTTAAACACCGAACATAACATAATTAAGTTACAGAGACAGAAAGGTAAAAAAAATCAAAGCAAGGAAACTGGAGAAGAACATCCAGGCTCGCCTGCAGCCACAACACGATTGAAATAAGTTCTGACTGGTTTCCAAAAACTAGAACTGACACCAAAATGTTGTATGACATGGTGATGCATCTACGCAGCACAAAAAGAGTCGAGTCAACGTCATTTTTTTCCCATTCGAAATTCGGATGCAATGCCAACGTAGAATTGAAAGAGACGCACAAAAATAGCAATGCAATATTCATGTGTAAGACAAAACCACGATCTCGACGAACTGAGAATACTCCTGAGATACAGCGTCGGGCTGGCAGCAAAGCAAGATGAATTGCAACATGCAATACTTCTTCTCATGCACTGAATCAAGCAGAACCTGAACACCAGAGGACGCGCCCGAATCGGCCGCATCGACGGATCAGCACAAGCAACTTCAAACACGCGGAAACGCAGCATTACTTCGAGAAGCAAGCCACGGCACAGCGAAATCAAGCAAAGCAGCACGGGCACGAGTCGCGCGGCTCAAAAGCAAGGACCAACGACGAAGGAAAGAGAATCTGAAGCGATAGAAACAGATCGAGAGGGGTGGAGACGAGTGAATACTCAGGTTTCTCCTCCGAGCTGGACGACGGACTTCCTTGAGAATCTGGAGAAAAAACAAAGAGCGAGAGCAATCACTTCGACGAGCGCGGAATCCGATCGCATCAATCGCGAGCTCGCACTCGCATGCCAGCACACGCACAGCACGCACAGATTACGTATACGAACAAAAGAACTCGTCAACGAGACGAGAACAACAACAACAACAAGAGCTTAGGCGGACCTTCATCTTCTTCTTCTTCCTCCTCAGCTCCTCCGCCTCCGGCGCCGCGGCCGCCGCCGCCGCCGCCCTGCGGCTCCCCGGGCTGCTGGTCGTCCTGCTCGGGGTCCCCGTCGCGGCGAGATTGCTTGGCGTGGGGGCCGTGGTGGTGGCCGTGGTGGTGGCCGCTCGGCTGCGAGGCGTCCTCGTCGTCCGCATTCTCCGGCAGGGACCGCTTCTGCGCAGGCATTGGCGCACGCGATGCGCGAGACGACGACGGACGAGAGAGAGAGAGAGAGAGAGAGAGGGAGCGAAGTGGTGGTGAAGGAGGAGGAGGAGGAGGTGGAGGAGGAGGAAGAACAACGGATGGAGAATTTATAAGAAGCCGAATATTTTTATTGTCGAGAGGGAGTCGGAAGCCACGGCAAGAAAGAACAAAGAGAGGAAAGGGCGAGCGAGCACATGTTGGTTCGGTGGACGGCCGTATGTCGCTTGCTCTTGGAGGTTGGTATTTTCCATTTTCCATTATTTATTCCATTTTTATTCATTTTTTGTTGTTTTTTTTTCTTTCGATTTTTCTTTTCTTTTCTCTTCTTTTTTGGGTGCCTTTTGGCTTATCGTTGATGATCTTTATTCCAATGCGCTTTGCCTTTTCTCGTGGGGTGGGGAGAATTTACGTTGCGAGTTTTCGATTCGTCCTTTTTGTTGCATTGCTTTGCTTGGGTGAATGTCTTTAGATTGCTTTTTTTTTATTTTTACAGAATTTCGCGGCGAATTATTAGTCGTGGTAATTTTTTTTTTTTTTTGGTCATGGTTGCGGTAATTTTACATGTGATGTATCCACGTCGGTTGATTGTACGTGAGGAGTCGAGAGGATGCGGTTTCCATTCTAAGCGTAATGTGCTAATCAGGGCAAAATGAATCCGAAATTGTATTTTGGCTCGCGAATCTGACGTTTTATGGAAATGTAAAAAAAATTCGAACCAATTTAGCTACCGTCCTCGTGGTTTTCCTTGTATTTATCGCGATCCCTTCGCGTCTGTCTTCAATAAATGTTCAAGTTGTTTCGATTTGCATCTAAGATGCGTTCGTATCGCGAAAACTGAATAATTGGAAAAACATTTTCTTAATAATGATCGTCCATATCGCTTACCAGAATGAATGCATGAAAACTTCTTATTGATAATTAGGCCAAAGTAAGAACTTTAATTTAATCAGTTTCTTTTTTATCGAAATGTTTCATTTTATCCAAAAATTCACCATAGCTTTTTACATTGTTGCAAAATGCTGGGTTTTTATGAATACTATTTCTCTTCCTCGAATTGAAACAAATTAGAAATCTTTATTCTCTACATCCTTTAGTGGATAAAACTTTTTTCGGGAACAAACAATTTCGGTCATTCTTCGATGTCTCCAATGGATTTATCCAGATTAATCTTAGCGACACAGCTTTTTTTCTCGATATCTTTGATCAATTTGGGGCTACTCTTACGAACCAATGAATTATGTATACTTTGATACATAACAAACTGTCCTTTTTTTTATAGACAAATGAACCGGTTCGATAATTAATGAAAAATCTACGGTCTATGAAAATATTTAAACATTAATTATTGGCGATAACGAAAATATTTTTCACTAATCAATTATTTTAAGGGATACAAGCGATCATTTTTTATAAAACGTGTTCCAAAATTATTTATTTTCCGCCTGACAGATGGAGTTGACTAAGTCTAGAATTTTGTTAAGCCATATAAGTTACGAGTATATTATGAGGAGAGGAGAGTCGGATAAATAGGGTGAAAAACAGAAGTAGTGCTAGTCGTAACGACGTTAGATTGATATTTGACAATTACACTTGTATCCTCACATTTAACGTAGCTAATGAGAAATTAAGGGTACTTTAGAAAGAAACGACGAAAGCTTTAAAAAAAAAAATGGAAACCCTGCTTCCTTCGTGTATAAAATTGCGAGAATTCGATTCTCATGATTTTAGTAAATGATAAAATTACAGGTCGAGATATGCTATTTTTCTTTTTTCGTTTTTTTGGTTATTTTCAAGGAAGAGAAATCCATGATGAGGATGTGTTTATTTCGGAAAAAACTTCACGACAAAGGAAAATACTTTTTCGGGAAATGAAAATGTTTTCCATCTTTCAGATTAGGGAATTCATTTAACTATATTTTCGTTTGTTTCGCGAAAAGTGAATGGTTTAGAAAATATTTTCTTAACAGTAATCGTTTGTATCATTTAAAATAATTAGTCAATGGAAGATGTTTTCATTATCAATAACAATTTATGTCTAAACATTTTCGTGAATGATGAAAAAAAATTTCGTTCATTCATTTTTGTAGGTGATATAAGCAATCGTTTTTTTGAAAAAAAATTTCTAAATCATTTAGGCTGCGAATAACAACCATTCTGTTTCAGAAATCAATTTCTGGCCAGATTTTCTATTTTTGTTTCATGGATAAATTTATGAGCAAAAATACGTGTTTGATAACGACATAAAATTTCTGTTCCCAAAACAAAAATTCGTTTGATAACAGCACAAAATTTCTCTCTCGGGTAGCTGGCAAGTGGATGGCAGGCGGGTGGCGGATGATGGGCGGCGGACGTTGGCAGCGAACGGCGAGCGGCGGACGGTAGGAGGAGGCGATGGCGATGGACGACGACGGGAGGTGGGTGGAAGGCTACCGGAGACGGTGGTCGGCGGACGGCAAGAAGCGGGCGGCAGCGAGAGGAGGGCGCCCGACGGCGGGAGACGGTGGCCAACGGACGGCGGGAGACGGTGGCCAGCGGACGGCGGGTGGCGACCTACAGCGGGCGACAACGATGGGAGGAAGGTGACCGGCGGCGAGAGACGGTGGTCGGTGGACGGCGAGTGACGGCGGGAGGAGGGCGGAGGCAGGAGGCGGGAGGAGAGCGGCCGGCGGCCCACAGCAGGCAGTGGCGGGAGACGGCGGATGGTGAGTGGCAGCCCACTGTGGGCAGCGACAGGAGGAGGGCGGGCGGGAGACAGTAGACGGTGGGCGGTGACGGGACTAGGGCAACTAGCGGCGGGAGACGGTGGCCGACAGGAGGTAGCGGCCGGCAAGTGGGCGGCGATGGCCGGCGGGTGGACGATTAGCTAGTAGTGAGGATGAGCGATGAGAACAATTTTATTTCTCATTTTTGTTTCAGAAATAGAAAAGTAGAAAATTTTAACTTCTCATTTCTGTTCCAAACTTATTTCTCAAATCAAAATTTGTTCCAAAAATTGAAAAATGAAATTGCGTTATCAAACGGATTTCTGTTCCAAACTTGTTTCTGGAACAAAAACAGAAAAATAGAATGGTTATCATTCGCAATCTTATTTTCCGCTAAACAAACAGAAGTATGTATATTTTCTTTTATTGTACATGATTTTCCGTTGATTAATCATTTTGTCTTTCACTGAAACAAACACACCGCGGGAAAATATATTTCATGAAAACCATTTTAAAGGAAAAATAGTTAGCTTTCATTCGTTTGGTGATCTTGAGAGAGTGATTTCCTTCTTGTCAAAAAGGAAAAGCTGTTTTCTCCCGATCTAAATTTGCTCTTTCAGCTCATAGAAAATGTTATCCATAGATCAATTAGTGTTTTGTCATTCAAACGCCGGAAAGTCGAAAAATAATATTTCGAAAAAAGGTTTTTCTTCAAACAAACGATCTTGTTGGAGCCGGAAGACGGGGTCAAAAAGGTAAAGAAGAAAGAGGTGTGACCCACACGCAAGGAGGGGTCAATGTTGAGGTTATTCATAAATCAATTAGTGTTTCGTCATTCAAACGTCGAAAAATCGAAAAATAATATTTTCAAAAATAATTTTCCTTCGAACAAACGATTTTATTGGAGCTGGAAGACGGGTCAAAAAGGCAAGGAAGAAAGAGGTGTGACCCACACGCAAGGAGGGGTCAATGCTGAGGTTTGACGGTCCGACCCTTAAAAAGAGTGTTTTGACTGTTCTCGCATGTTAACTCAAGCAGTGATTGTACTTTGGTACAATGCGGTGTCCGAGGCCCATCGCAGGTCAGGTGAAGATTGGGCCTCAGCAACGTCCGCCGCGACTCCAGCTAAAGAACAAAAGAGAGGTCTAAACTAAACTCGATTGGACGAGGCCGACCGGGTCAAAGTTCGCAAGTTGCGCAAACGAGCGGTTGCGGAAATGAGATATGGTGCTGTTTGAGAAGCCACGCTCGCTTGCGATGTTGCCGTACCTTGTCGTAAATCAGTCTTGTATTCTGCTAGCAGTAGTAGCTTATTGTGACAATGGAGGATTTGTTTCTTGGCCCCAGCCCGACCGGTGTACGGCCCCCCGCCCGAGTCATGCCATGCACGTGTTGGCGACTTCCACTCGTGATGCTCGGGCTCGTGTCGTCTTTTGCCGTCTACGTGGGTGATTTATCGAAATATGATACAAAATCGAACGATGGATACATAATTCTCGGAAAAATTATAAAAAAAAGTCATAAACCTATTGCAAATTGAGTCATAAACCTATTCTAGGCGGGTGATTTTTTTTTTTTGCAAATTGAGTCATAAACCTTTTGCATTTGTGCCAATTCAATCCTTCCGACTAATTTTGGCCAACTGGTGCTAACGTGGACATTTTTAATAATATTTTGATATTTTTCTAAAAAAATTAATTTTTTTTTCCTTCCCTTCCTTCATCCTCCATCAAGTCACCGGACCTTGGCAACCGGTTAGAGGCAACAGCCAGCGAGGTCGATCTCTCTGGCCACTTACTAGGCCGACCTCATCGTCTCTAGGCAAGCTCTCGCCAGGGGCAAGCAAGGCGACGACAAGGTCAAGCCTCCCCATGGCTAGGTGAGCCCTCGGCAATCCTCAATTCTGGCCGTTGCCGAGGTTTGGCAATCGGCCAAAGGAAGAAGGAAGGGAAGACGAAAAAAATATATTTATCACGAACGAAAAATTTGAGGCATAGACATTTTCCGTTTAACAATATTCTTAAGAGATAAAAACAATCGTTCATAACAAAATCTAAAGAGAGAAAAACAACCACGCGTGCTCGCATGCAAAAGTTGAAGTGCACTACCTAAGCCATGATCCTAAAAGGACACCACCCACTCCCTTCCCCATCTTCCAGGCAATCACACACAGAGCAATGCACTCATCCGATTGGCCAAAGAACAACACAAACTACCCTACAACGAGTTCAAGACCAGGAAAAGAAACCAGTTGCTACCTTCCCTAAGTCTCACTCCACGAGAGAGCGCTACAATAATCGCTTTGAAAATCTATAACCATTCTAAAAGAGGGCATCGTGATCAGATTTCAGATCCATCCGATCCTTATAGCCCGCCGAAGTCGAGGAAAGGAGGATGCCGCTATTAGATAAGAGACGAAACATCCGCCCACCAAGAATAAGCTCGCCGAAAGTACAGCACTCAAACTTAAATTATTTTGATCTAACAAGAGATGACATAGATGACATAGCCTACAGCACATGGTACTGGTGTAGTAAGCCAATCCGCCTAGACTTCCCCATGTAGAAGAGCCAGGAACCTCGAATTTGAAGTCGAGGACAGTCGTTTGCGTCGAGAGAGACTATGGATAATACAGAATTATCACCAACTAGGATGACAGAAGAGAGAGAGCATCAAACCGGTTCGACGGGCTTTTATCTGATCTGGAAATGTTTGTAGGTGGCGTTCTCTTGGATGGTCATCTGAATCCGGCCCCGATCATCGACTTGTCCACAGACTAGCTCCTTCATTTGAGTGCCGCCAGCTTTTCCACTCGAGCCCGTGATGTGAGACTCGGTGGGATTCTTTCTTCTCCGTTCGTTGTGTCCTGCCAACCGCCTGCGGCAACTCCTTTTGTTTTCATCGAATTCTGATAGCTCATGGAACCTGCAAATCAAGCTCCGAGTTGACAAAAAAGACGGGCGAAGATAACAACATCGATCACGATCAGACCTTATATAAATTCAAGAAAAGCCATCCTCAATTATTGTGTGATTATAATGAACTTGCAGACAGTGAGAGAGAGTGAAAATGAACATAAAACGCACTTCCAACATAGAGAGGATTAAACTTTGAAGGCAAGCACATGGATCAAAACGAGGATCATAATGAGAATTTAGCTTCCAAGACGAGCATATGTACTATTACGACAATCTGATCAACCATGTGTTTAAAAGTAGATCGAAGTCAGTCAGGCTCGACTGGAATAGCGCGATTCAAAATGAAGCAGAGTGAGAATCGGTCACTCCACAACTTAGTAGACGACCCGGATGGAAAATCTCCAACAATTCTCATAGAAGGGCTCAAAGATCAAACGTGCTAGCATATTTTGTGAAATTCAACCACAATGTAAGACACTCCTCGCCCAAATTCCATTCCGGTTGCTTGCTTTCACTGTGCTCTACGTAGAACGATTGACGGCAACATCTGAATTCTAGAGTTTCTAGTACTACTGCGTGTCTGGGATTTTGTCCTCCAAACTAAAACTTTTCTTCAAGATGAACTTAGAATTATGAGTTTCCAGATTTCATTGACACAAGGAAAGCATTTTATTTCTATTGATCATGAGGTCATTTGAGTTCAAAGTTCACTACTAAGGATCACAACACAGCACAGCACAGCACAGCACAGCACAGCACGACGGGATTGCGATGAAATCGGACCGGACCTGCTACATTGCTGACAAAACCGCTGGCGAAGGCCGGCGACGACCACCGCCGGCGCCTTGGAGTGCTGCTCGCACACCTTGTGCCTCCGGTGGTACTGCTTCGCCTCCGCGAGATCGGCCGTGCACTTCTCCGCCTGGCAATTCCTCGACGCGGCGGTCCCTGACACATCACAGCGGTCCACACCGCACACGAATTAGAAAGCTCATTTAAGTCTCTAAGTTGGCCAACAAAGACACAGGCGCGATCAACGCATTGCATATGCACTCGGCCGGAACGAATTGCCATTACCACTCCCTCGCCTGCTCCCGCTCGACGACGACGACGACGACATCTTCTTCTTCCTGGGGTCGTCGTCGTCGTCCTCCCCCTCCTCCTCCCCGCCGCCGCCGCCGCCGCCGCCGTACTCCGCCGCGGGCTCGGTCTTCACCTTCTCCTCGAAGCTCGCCCTCTGCTTCCCCTTCTCCGTCATGGCCACCGCAAGAGAGAGAGAGAGAGAGAGAGAGAGAGAGAGAGAGAGAGAGAGAGAGAGAGGGTGGCTCCGTCGAGCGCTTCCGGCGGGAAGGGAAGGCGATGCCGATGAGAGAGAGAGAGGCAGGGATGGCGATGGTGGTGGGGTGGAATTATAAGGGGAGGGGGGCCAAAGGTGAAGAGAGAGAGAGGCTGAGCGTTCGTGCTTTGGTGTGGGTGAGGACCACAAGCTCCATTTCTGTTGGTTTTTTTTTGGTTTCTGCAACTGCGCTTTCTCTCTCGCTGGTGTACTCGTACGTATACGAGGGGAAGGCGACGAGTGCGTGGAAGAGACGGTGGGCAGGAGGGGGGGAATACATGACATGAAGCTCGGTCTACTACGCGGACCAATACCATCGCAGCCGTTGAACATGCGGACTTCGTAAGGAGACCGACGTGATCGGTGAGCATGATGATACTGATATGCGTAATTAGATATGACTGTCGAGAGAGAAAAGGCGCACCGAAGAACATGATCTGCACTGGTTAGGTGAAATTATGTGCGACGTATTACCGATCGAAGGGAAGGAATTTCATTAGATGTCGTTAAATTGAGGATGGACATCGGTTTGTGTGTGTTATACACATGTAGTAGGCATGTTTGTTCGGATCTCGCATGGTACCTCTTAGGAAAACAAATATCTGTCCATGCATGATTTTATTGCATAGGCCATTGTATTTTTTTTTTTCCTTGCATTTAATTATAGTAGATGGACCGACGGCGGGAGAAACAAGAATTGAGTACCACCACTACAGCTCAACCGAGGCTCAACGACCCTAGTCGACGACAATAACAAGAGTTGGTGGCGGCCCTTTTTGGTTGCGATCTTGTTGGCAACTCAAGGGAGGATCGACACACCTTCCTCTAAACTAGGATCGCCGACCCTCGTAAGCGAGAATGACAGAGGCTAGTCAACTTTTCTTTGGACTTCCAAAAGGTAAGTCGACTTTTTCTCTGGACTTTAGGAGGCGGCATCGTTACCTATAGGCTCCCCTTCCTTTTCTTCTTCGAGGGTTTGCTTTCCTTTTTCTTCTTCTTTTTTCTGTTTTCTAATATTTTTTACGGAAGGAAATTATATATAAGTATCAATTTTGTTGCTAACGGGACGCTGATAAGTCAATCCACATCATCGGAATAATTAACTTATAAAAAAATACATATACTTTATGGGCCCAATTACACAGAAAAAAAAACTCAAGAACCTGATTGAATAATTTGAAAAAATTTCAGTAGCACGAGGTGTATTTATAAAAAAAAAAATAGCGTAGGAAGAAGAGTATATAAAACGAATATATTTTCTTTTTTTATTATTATTGACAGGGAGAAAGAGGATCAAACCTAACGCTAGACATGGAGAGATGCACGACCGACTGAGCTTCAACTTGGGTGATGATTCTCGTGAGTGGTGGCCCCCACCCGCCACCACGAGGATCGTACGGCGCGTGATCGTTTTAGGTCTGCGGTTGTGCGCGGTTGGACCGGCAGCGGGGGAGTGTGCTCTGGTGGTGGCGGGACTCCCCAGAGGAGGCCGCGTGTCCGATCCTGATTGGACGCTGGACAGGTCAAAGCGGCGGCTTTGACTTTTGAGGCTTCCTTACCGTAGCGCGGGCTAATGGGAGGTCGAAACGTGGCGAGCTCATGGGACGGCGAGCGCGTGGGATGGCTGCCGCCGTTTGTTCCTTCCCCCGTGCGTGCGAGACATCACTACAGAGCGGGGACGTTGCTGTGTCTGGGATCCCCCGCTTTCATACATGTTCCCTTGCCGTAATTTTGGAAAACAAATGTTGGATTGTGTTATTTTAATGAGAAAAAATCACCAAAAACCTCAAATTTTGTCAATTGTGACACATTTATCCCGAACTTTTTTCTGTGACGCCAAAAACCCCTAATTATGCTATTTGTAACACATTTACCCCAATGTATTTAGTCCATAGGCATTTTCGTCTTTTTTTCTTTTTCTTTTTTTTTCTCTTTTTTTTTCCTTTCCGGCGAGGGGGGCCCTCGCCGGCGTTGGGCGAGGGCTGCCCTCGCCGGATCCGGCGAGGGGGCCCTCGCCGGCGTCAAGCAAGGGCGGCCCTCGCCGGCATCGAGCAAGGGCGGCCCTCGCCGATCCGGCGAGGCCCCCTCGCGATCCGGCGAGGGCCCCTGCGAGATCCGGCGAGGGCCCCCTCGCCGGCGTTAGGCGAGGGTCACCTCGCTTGGGCGAGCGAGGGCGGCCCTCGCCCGGCTCAGCGAGGTGTCGGGCGAGGGTCGACCTCGCCCGAGTCGGGCGAGGGCCGCCCTCGCTCGCCCCAGCTAGGGCGGCCCTCGCTGACGCCGGCGAGGGGGGCCCTCGCCGGAAAGGAAAAAAAAAAGAGAAAAAAAAAGAAAATGCCAAAAAGATGAAAATGCCCATGGACTAAATACATTGGGGTAAATGTGTTACAAGTAGCATAGTTTGGGGTTTTTGGTGTCACAAAAAAAAGTTCGGGGTAAATGTGTCACAGATGGCAAAGTTTGGGGTTTTTGGTGGTTTTTTCCCTATTTTAATTTAAGATCAATACCACGAAGAACTTCAAACTAATATAGTCACGATAAATTTACTTAAAATTAATTTTTTAAATTAAAAATTTTCAACTGGTACATCTGTGATAAATTTACCCTCCATTAGTTTTCATTAAATTTTACCGTCAAATTGCTAAGTTGTATGACTCGTGGCATGATGGGTAAATCGGTTTTACCCTCCATTTGTCGCGGGTGTTAATCCAATTTAACGGAAACTAACGGAGGATAAATTTGTCACAAATGTATTAATTTGGCGTTTTTTGTGATAAAAAAGTTAGGTTTGGAGTAAATTTGTTACATGTTTACCGGTTTGGAGTTTTTTATGATCAAAAAATTAATTTTTGATCAATTTATCACGGATATATCAGTTTAAGTTTTTTCGTGATATTAACCCTTTAATTTATAATTTGATTTTCAAATTAACGTGGAAGATTATTATATGGTTTTCAACGAAGCTCGCTTATCTAAACACCCAGTAATGGTCCATCTCGTTATTTAGTAAAACCAATTTTTATGAATAAAATTTGATAGATTTAATATTGCTCGACTTTTGAAAGTGGAAATTTTAGGATTGGAGGTTTTCGAGTTCGATTATGATTCATCTGATCACGAGATTCACAAGGTGTAACAGCCCGAATTTCGACGTAATTCCAGGATCAATAAAATTGACAATATTTCGCATTTCATTTTAGTAAGTCTCGCCCAGAGCTGATCACTCTCGGGATACTAACCAATGGGGTATGGCTAACTAGGAAACGGTACGTGGACTAGGGACTCGATAGTGAACGGGACACCGATCTCGAGATACGATGAGTGAATATTTTGGGCCAACGTGGGCCGATCTTAGGAAAGGTGATGGATTTGGTTTGGCCAAGGCCAACGATGTACAATCGGATCGCAGGTGATTCTGCAAGACCGAAAGTGCACGTGGCCAACCAGTCCTGAACCTGAACCTAACGATCGTGATCTTTGGAACTAATGATAATTTCTCATTCTCTTAATGATCGGGACCGTCATAATTCGAATAACCCTAGGTCGATACGTGTATGTCCTAAACAGCCGCCCGTTAGCCAGAGACCCTGAAATTGAAACTCGAGCGAGTTTTGATCACGAAATTGGGCCCGGATTTCGATGTCGATTTTCGGAGGCTTAAGAGACTATTTTTGGGAATCTGACGTCATATTACGCTGGCCACACACGTTTGGAGTTAGTACGAGTAAAAAGTGGAATTTCGGTCCGGGGGTGAAAAATTACGGTTTTGCCCCTGTGGGCACCGAGGCTGGATTCGGAGGCCGTTTGAGGTTATTTTTCGCGGCCAAGGTCATTTTGGGGTGGCCACGCACATTTAGAGTGGTTTTGGCCAAAAATTGGAATTTCGACAAAAAATTGGAAAAATAATATTATTTTATTCCCGAAACTTCGCAGTCGATTTTCGAGGGCTTAGAAAGTGAATTTCGCGAATCCGACGCCATATTATGTTGGCCACGCACATATGGAACACGTATGTGCGAAAATTGGAATTTCGCCCCGGGACCGGAAAAATGACGGTTTTGCCCCTGGGCCGTTTTCGGGTCCGAATTTTTGGGAAATTTTTGGGATAAGTAACTGTGGTTATCAGCTGCATTATTGGCACCAAAGACCCAATTGCCCCTCAATTATTTAAGCCTATCTCTTTAGAACCGTTAGATTAGGGGCGTTTTGGTCATTTTTCACGGATCGGCGACACGTGGCACTATGGGCTGCCCTTTTTGACCAACTCAGACCAGTTTTCTCTCTCCTCAGCCCTCCCTCTCGGCAGATCAGCCCAGCCACAGCAGCTTCTCCCTCTCTTTCTCTCATTTTTCTCTCTTGATTTTGGCTCGCCGGAGCACCGCCGCCGACCGCCGTGCCCCGCCGTCAACCCCCACAGCCCCTAGCCTCAGCCTCGCTTCAGTCCAGCCCTTTCTCTCTCCCTTTCCCTCTATTTTTCTCTCTTTTTCTCTCCCGGTAAAGCACCGCCGCCGCGTCCGAGCCTCGCCGGAGCTTCGCCAGAGCTCCGATCGCCCTTCCGTCGCCACCCAGCCGTCCAGCTTGTCGGTACGTCGCCGTTCGTCGCCGGCCGTACGATGTCCGTACGGTCGGAATTGTAGCAGTCCGTACGCCCCGTCCGTACGGCCGCCGCGGCCGTCACCGCCGTCTCGCCGGCCACCGTTCCCGCCGTCCCCGTACAGTTCCGTACACGTGAACAGTACCTTTGTGAACAGTACCCCCGTGAACAGTGCCGCGTGAACAGTACGCGCCGCCGGGAATTCCGCCGCCGATTTCACTGTTCATCAGTGATCGGCCGCCGTTCCCCGTCGCCGTGGTCCAGAAATTAAGTGAGTAAAATTCCTAAACCCGGATTAAGACTGTTAGTGCGTTTTTCTGGACTGGTTTAGGTATTATCGGTACAATTTGGACTGGCTTAGATAGTATCAGTGTGTATTTCAGACTGGGTTGAGGACGGATTGGTAAAAATTATCATTTGGAAATTTAGTGGATTAATGAGAATTATTTGGGGAGATTAATTGGATTAAATGACCAATTTAGGAGCCCGTTGGAAAATTACCGGGTATGTCCGGGTTGATTGATTGTACGTCAATTGTGCTTAATTGTGGTTGATTTCGTACTGCTATGTCGTATGTGGTGTGACTGATTTTATGGAGTGCGATTGGCCATTGTTTGGTTTACAATGATTTACTGATTTGTGAATCGCACGTTAGGCCACACGGTATTAATTGGGCCAATTAAGCACGTGTTGTGACATTGGGTGTCTGAATTATATTGGTGCTCGTGGTGCATTGCATTGCATAACATGGACACGCATTGCGTATGCCAAGAGTGAGGCATGTGATGAAATTGCGCGAGAATGCGTGTTTGCCATGAGCATGTGACCACCTAAAATACCCTGAAGCGTTATACGCTGGGTTCAGATAATAATGAGTTGTGTGATCACCTAAGGACCTTTGGGTCATGACCTTCGGGTCGATACCGTCCTCATGCACTTTGAAGCAGGACGATGCCCGGTACGTCCGGAAGGCGACCATCCTCATGCACTTTGAAGCAGGCTCTGGTTCGCAAGGAGAACAAAGCTGCGCCTCATGCACTTTGAAGCGGCTAGAGACACCGGGCCAGATCGGTTGTTGCACCTCATGCACTTTGAAGCGAGGCTAGACGCACCGGGCCGTGAATGTTGATGACTCGAGTCGTAATAAATAATAAATTGGGCGATTGCCAGTGTGCCAGTATGGGCCAGTGGGCCGGGAAATACACGTGACATGTCGACGACATTTGCATGCATGAACATGCATGGACTGGCATGTGAGTGTGTGAGCCTCGGTGCATGAGCATGTGATTGGCGTACGTGTGATAAAATGTGCCACGTACGTGCCGTGATTATTATATATTGAACTGCCTAACCTACAGGGTCGGAGGATTAATTGATTATTATTGCACTATGGTTTCATTTATTTATTTTCCGGTCAGGAGATTGCATGCTAGCCTAGCCTAGGTTTAGGGGTTGAACTCACTGAGATTCGTCTCACGGTTGTGTAAACCGAAACTTTTCAGACCCCCAGCCGTAGGATGCCGAGGAGAGCGCCTCTTTTTGGTATACCGCAATTCATCCAGCGGTCATCTAGTGTGCACCCTTGTGGGGATGGACCCGCAGCCATGGTCGAGGAAGCCGAGGAGCCCGAAGTGATATACGCCGACCCCTTTTACCGAGTGGCCGCTGATCGGTGTGTTTTCTTGGTCGTTGTATAAATGAATTTTAGAAAAAGTTTCCTATGGTAACACTAGTATACATATTTTCAGAGGTGCTGTTTACTTAATGTACTACCTTGGTCTCATGTGTTTTATTGTCAGGGTGTATATATATATATTTATATACGTGCTTCTGCATGTGTTTGATCTCTGATTGGGCGCTGGGTCGGCGATGCTTCCTGGGAGCGTCGCACCACAATCGACCGTGACGGGATGTTGCGTTCCAATGGGGTACGGGGCGTGACACAAGGTTTGTTGGGCTTGCTGGAGAACTAACCACGATCGAATGGTATAGTCACAATCGTTCGAATTTACTATTGGAGGGCTCCACCACTCCGCAACCATCAAATTATATAAGATCATTGCCAAAGCAAAAGAGTTCCTAAAAAAAGTAAATTTGATTATAGTCGAGCTTATTAAGAGGAGTCGCCCATAATTTGGGAAAACTTGGACAAAGTACTTTTTTTATGTTATCGGTTCAATCCAACCCTTCACGACATGTGTGGATGACCGCTTATAAACTCGTGGGCTCTCCTCCAAAGTGGGATTGTCGCAAAAGCCCAAAGGTCCTACGAGTATAAAGTTTACTTGTGCAGACCATATGGTGTTTATTCTTTAAAAGGGAAAATGACACGAATGGTCCTTGAATTTTGACTTAATATGCAATGTGGTCTATCGACTTTAACTTGTTCAATGCAGTCCCTTAATTGCGATTTAATATGCAATATGATCCATAAACTTTCAACTTGTTCAATTTAGTTCCTAGGTTTTTGGTGCATGTTCAATTTAATCTCTGAATCATATGAAAATGTTCAATGTTGTCCCTGAACTTAAATTAAAGAAATGATAGTATTGAATATTTTCATATGGTTTAGGGACTTAGTTGAATATGTGCCAATACTTCAGGGACCGCATTAAACAAATTAAAAGTTTAGGGACCACATTGCACATTACGCTAGAGTTTAGGGACCATACTGAACAAATTAAAAATTCAGAGACCACATTGCACATTGAGCTACAGTTCATGGACCATTTGTGTCATTATCCCTTCTTTATACAAGGGTCGAACTTAACGAGGTATTTTTAAGCTCAAAGTTGGATCTCAACAACTTTTTATTAGGACTCTACCTAACTTAGGTTAGCCCTAACCTCTCATTGATCTAAAAAGATTGGGCTTGGCATAATTCATTTGTACTCATATCGTAATTCTATAATCACACGCTTTAATGTTGCAACTCAAAACGCTGTGTTGAACCACCTCGACAATGTTTTATCACATTTTGACGAATCTATAAGAGTGGCGTACGAGTCACACCATAGATTGTCGGCGTTGTTCTTTGGAGAATTTCTTATTTGGATCCAAGCCCATGGATCCAAAATGATCGTGGTTGTTGATCATGTGGGGGCGTTTCAATCATTAGCCACGGTAAACTCGATCCATGTAGATCCGATCCGGGTCCAGACAAGTATTTTTCCCCATCTTTTCCTTCTTTTTTTTGGTCAGAATTTTTCCTATCCTCTGCGGCCACTCTTTTGTAGGCAAAGGGAAGGCTTTCATTTTCCCAAAAGAGGAGGAAGAACGTCAGCATCGTGGCACGAATGTCATTTCGGAGAAAGGAGGAGCGCAATGTGGTCATTTGATGAAACCCTAGGTTTGCAAATTGACGGAGGATAAATTTATCACAAATATATTAATTTGAGGTTTTTTGTGATAAAAAAATTTAGGTTTGGAGTAGATTTGTTACATGTTTATCAGTTTGAGGTTTTTTATGGTCAAAAATTAATTTTTTGTAAATTTATTACGGATATATCAGTTTAAGGTTTTTCGTGGTATTAACCCTTTAATTTATAATTTGATTTTCAAAATAACGTGGAAGATTATTATATAGTTTTCAATGTGACTCACTTATCTAAACACTCAGTAACAGTTCATCTCGTTATTTAGTAAAACCAATTTTTATGAATAAATTTTGATAAATTTAATATTGCTCAACTTTTGAAAGTGGAAATTTTAGGATTGGAGGTTTTCGAGCTCGACTATGATTCATCTGATCACGAGATTTACAAGGTTTGTTGGGCTCGCTCGAGCACTAACCACGATCGAATGGTATAGTCACAACCGTCCGAATTTACTATTGGAGAGCTCCACCACTCCACAACCATCAAATTACATAAGATCATTGCAAAAGCAAAAGAGTTTTTTAAAAAAAAAGTAAATTTGATTATAGCCGAGCTTATTAAGAAGAGTTGCCCATAATTTGGGAAAACTTGGACGAAGTACTTTTTCTTATGTTATCGGTTCAATCCAACCCTTCACGACATGTGTGGATGACGAGAAAATATTGGGTGGTCCGGGACCTCCACGGAGGTGTGGTCCCTGACCACTCAGGAAGCGCCACGTGGAGCTGCCACCTCCGAAACGCCGTGTTGAACCACCTCGATAATGTTTTATCACATTTTGGCGAATCTATAAGAGTGGCGTACGGGGCCACACCATAGGTTGTCGGCTTTGTTCTTTGGAGAATTTCTTATTTGGATCTGAGCCCATGGATCCAAAATGATCGTACTCGCCATAGGTTGTCGGTCTTGTTCTTTGGAGAATTTCTTATTTGGATCCGAGCCCATGGATCCAAAATGATCCTAATCATTGATCATGTGGGGGCGACGCAATCATCGGCTACGGTAAAATCGATCCATGTAGGTCCAATTCGGGTCCAGACAAGTATTTTTCCCTATCTTTTCCTTTTTTTTTGGGTCAGGATTTTTCCTATCCTCTGCGGCCCCTCTTTTGCAGGCAAAGGGAAGGCTTTCATTTTCGCAAAAGAGGAGGAAGAACGTCAGCTTCGTGGCACGAGTGTCATTTCGGAGAAAGGAGGAGGGCAATGTGGTCATTTGATGAAACCCTAGGGTGATCTCCCTCGAATATACATCCGCCATTTTCAACGCTCGGGAGCTCTTCCCTCTACTCAGCTGCAGAGTGTGCAGTTCCGTTCATCGCGCTCCCGGCGACCTTCTCAGGTCAGTCTCTCTCTCGCTGCTTCGTCCCTTTTTGAGCTTCAGCTCTAGCGAAGCGATTCCGTCCCGCGTTTCCGATTGCTCGGCGTGAAGGAAGATCGAGTCGGATGGTGGCGAGATCGCGCGTTCGGCGTCCGGCGTCCGGTGCGTGTCCGGTGGCATTTCCGATTGCGAGTTCGCGCTCGAGGTCGCCTCGAACGAGGGCGAGTCTCGTGTGTATTTTGTTGATATGGATGTCTCGGTGGCGTGATCGTTCCAGGAATTCGGGGCGTAGCTCGACATGTATCGCTTTTTCTCCGGGCCTTTAGGACCGGGTATTGCGGAGCTATCTTCGCGACTCTGGATCGTTTGCGGTTTTTAAGTTGTTGTAGGATTCGTTTTGAAGTTGCGATTTGCTTCTGAGAAGGTTTGTGTTGTGAGGTGATGCGAGTGGGGCTCTTGGAGGCTGTCGTCATTGATATGGAAGCGCGATGCTCGCTTAGTTTTAGATCATTAGGTGGTATGGGTAGTCTGCTTGCTATCTATTTGATCGCATCTGAAATGTTGAAAAGTTCGATGAATGAATAATTTTGTAATGGCGTCAAAAGTCGTTTGTTGTGGGAGATAGTCGAGTGAGTGCAAATTTTTCGCTTCTGGTCAATCTTTTCTGCATTGCCGTTGCATGTCGTCGTTCTGTTCACGGCAAAAAGTACTTCACATTGCAGGATGATTATTTCACGCAGATTTTGGAATCGATAGCTTTTATCGACTTGCTATCAAATTTTAGATGTTGGAGAAATTTGACCAGATATAAACTCCATTGAAACTGCGCTGATGAGTGCTGATGGCATCCTCCTTATCGTTTTCGTGTTCATCATCGTTTGCGGTGGACATTGTCATCATCCGTGTTGAAAGGCATTGCAGAGCATGTTTAATGAAATTCATGGCTATATATGTACATCAATCTCCTCATCTGATGTCATTTTGTACGCAGGTCAGCTTTTGAGTTGCAATCATGGCGGATGGATCGCAGCGTCCATCTATATTTCAGAAAATACATTGGCAGTCTTACCTCATATCGAGGCTTTCTCCAAACGTGTGCCCAAGGAGCTATGGGGCAGAGAATCTGACTGGCAGATATACCTATGGAAGGTCACAAAGTTCTTTGCATCCAGCATTTCAAGGCACTGGTCTGGAACTTGTGTCACCCCTTTCTCCTGTTCTTGTTCAAGCTCCCTCCGAGAAAGGTGTAAAAGGTTTTCTAGCTGACTTTCTCATGGGAGGAGTCTCTGCTGCCGTATCCAAGACAGCTGCTGCTCCAATTGAACGTGTTAAATTGTTGATCCAAAATCAGGATGAGATGATCAAGACTGGAAGGCTATCTGAACCGTATAAGGGAATTACCGATTGCTTTGCCAGAACTATTAAGGATGAAGGTGTGATTGCTCTCTGGAGAGGCAACACAGCCAACGTCATCAGATACTTCCCAACCCAGGTGATTTTCCTTGCGCGATAAACTCGGTAGTCATAAGTAGCTCCCAATTTAGCTAATCCTTCACGCTTTGTTCTAAATCTTGGGTTTCTGGACGTTGATGAGATAATTGATGGCCTTTTGTATTGAAGGGAACTAGATTTACTCTTCAACTGTTGAATTTTGTCAGATTTTTCGGTTGGCACTTTTGATTATTCCTAGAAATTTGTTCCTATTATAGTGTTATTTTACCGTTCATAGTTGTGGGAAATTACTGAGATGTTTGCTTAATGTTTCTACCAGGCCTTGAACTTTGCATTCAAGGATTACTTTAAGAGGTTGTTCAACTTTAAGAAAGACCGTGATGGATACTGGAAATGGTTTGCTGGTAACTTGGCTTCCGGCGGTGCTGCTGGTGCTTCATCTCTTCTGTTTGTCTACTCCCTAGACTACGCCCGAACACGTTTGGCTAATGATGCAAAGGCTGCTAAGAAGGGCGGTGAGAGGCAGTTTAATGGTTTGATTGATGTTTACAAGAAGACCCTTAAATCTGATGGCATTGCTGGCCTTTATCGTGGGTTCAATATCTCGTGTGTTGGCATCATTGTGTATAGAGGGCTGTACTTCGGAATGTACGATTCTCTGAAGCCTGTGGTTCTGGTTGGAGGGTTGCAGGTATATAAACTAACTATGTGCATTGGATCATCTTGGACTCTCCTAAATATAAATGATGAAGAAAATGTTTCCTTGAATATCTTTCTCCTCTCCCCTGTACTTAATTCGTCATTTTCTTTAGTAAAAACATTAAGAGGACAGAAGCTGCTACACATATTCATTACTGTGTGTTTCCGGTTGATCCTGACTTGTTTTTGGCATTGGAATCTTCATTTGCTTTGCTCTGATTTGTAATTGAGCCTGCTTCTGAGTACTGCTCTTTCCCCCTGAAAATTGTTGAGAATGAATTCGGTTACTTGTCCTATTAATCTGATGACCTTGCCATTCGGATTAGTTTTGACCTGTCAGATTGACCCTTCTTTAACAACGGCAAGTATGGGGTGAACTGAGCCATGGAATGATGTTTGCTGCTTTGGATATCGCTTCTTTTAACCTGTGCCTGCTTGAGTTTTTGCAGGATAGTTTCCTAGCTAGTTTCTTGCTTGGATGGGGAATCACAATTGGCGCTGGACTTGCTTCCTACCCGATTGATACTGTACGTAGACGGATGATGATGACCTCTGGAGAGGCTGTGAAGTATAAGAGTTCCTTGGACGCATTCAACCAGATTGTCCAGAAAGAAGGTACCAAATCACTCTTCAAGGGTGCCGGTGCGAATATTCTCCGTGCCGTTGCAGGCGCTGGTGTGCTGGCTGGATATGATAAGCTGCAGCTTATTTTGTTCGGCAAGAAATACGGATCTGGCGGTGGCTAATAGGAGCATGGTAAGGGAGATGATGACGAATATGAAAGCATTAAGTAGGCTATCCTTGGAATCTTGAAATAATTCGGACAAGGAGACTGCTTTCATCAATTTCTTTCTTTTTTGTGGATTGAAATTCGGAAGTGAGTGCCTCAAAGACTTGATGCTGCATGTTTTTCCTTTGCGCCTTTGTGAATCGTCTTGTAAGAGTAAGATTTTGTATCCACTTGAACCTTTTCGGCGCTTGTAGCTCGTAGAAGGGCTTGTCAGGCGGAAATCCTGTTCTCCATGGGAGATTGTGTTCTGTGAATATTTTGGAAGCAATTACAGCGTGGTCTCGAATTTCAGTTGCGGTCTTCCTATTTGTCTGAGCAGTAGAGAAAATTGCCACTGAGAATGATCAGCTTATGTCAAGCCATTTGGATAGGTAAGCATCGCATTTGGCATGCCCGTTTCAAGTTTGAGGCGAGTGTTGTCTTAAATTTTCTCGAAAATGGACTCCTCAATCTTTTCTCACCGATCGATTTGAGGGGAGTCGCCATTTCTATAGAATCCCAACATGATCGAACTACTCTTTCTCTAGTTCTGCACAAAAAGAAAATTTGGAAAGAAACTCTGTTTCCCGGTTAATTCTTGACCGTATCTTCTTCTTATGAACAGTGAGAAAGTTGCTGTTATCATTCCAAAGAAATTACGTCGATACTGTCTCAACTTCTTTGTAGTTCTGAAGTGGCTCCATGTATAACGCTTACTGGAATTCCAAGACCGCCTATTGAGATATTCGTTTCATGGGGCTTTTTTCTTACTCGCTTCATAACCAAGAAAGCTCTCTAGTCAAGAATCTTAAGACAGATCTGTGCTCGGTTTATGTTCAAGAGCGGGTTCGATAACCTTTAAGATCTTTCATCAAATTATTCCCACATCACTTCAATTTCAAGAAACTCCGAGGGAGATGGGGAAACTGTCTCTCTCCTGCTCCACTTCGAACAACAAACGAAAACTACAAGGTTAGGAGCTGTGTCCCAATCGAGCCGTCGTCCTCCTCCGCCGCCGCGAGAAGAATGTCTTTGCTCTCATCCGAAACAGTGGTTTTGCAGGATAAATTTTCCATACGCGTCTCGTGCCACTACCGGGCGGCGCTACAATTTTTCGTCGCGGTGGGCGAAAACGTCCTTTTTCCGCCAGTATCTTCTGTCGTCCCCCCTGTCGTTTTAAAGGGTCGTTGCAACAGTTCCTCCGAGGTCAAGTATGAAAGAATTAGGGTCAATGGGACATGAATTACTTGTTTAAACGGAGGATTGCACATTTTCAACTGAAAAGGGCACGTTTCTCTGTATAAAACAAAACCCACCTGGTTATGCATTGCATATAGCAGCTCGACTACACGAATGGCTTCACATTCATTTTCGTTGATTCTTCTCCATGCTTTTCTCTTGCTGTTGCTTCACCTAGCCTTGCCATACTACAATGCGGCCGCGAAACATGGCCACTACCCCGGCCGACACTATCGGCACCAGTCTCACCATCCCCACGTGTCCAACCCCAGGCTCCACCAAGCCTACATTGCCCTTCAAGCGTGGAAACACGTGATCTACTCAGACCCGCATAACTTCACCACCAACTGGTCTGGTCTGTCTGTCTGCAGCTACACGGGTGTTTATTGTGCGGCAGCACTCGATGATCCCAAAATCCGGGTGGTGGCCGGTATCGATCTAAACCGGGCTGACATAGCTGGGTTACTCCCGGAAGAATTAGGCCTTCTGACCGACCTCGCTCTCCTCCATTTGAACAGCAACCGGTTCTGCGGAATACTGCCGCAAACTCTAGCGAATCTCGCACTTTTGTATGAACTTGATCTCAGCAACAACAGGTTTGTGGGACCTTTTCCTTCGGTCGTTCTCTCCATGCCTTCTCTTCATTATCTCGACATTCGCTACAACGAATTTGAGGGGTCATTGCCTCCAGAACTCTTCAAGAAAAGCCTAGATGCGTTGTTCGTCAATAACAACTGGTTTACAAATTCCTTACCTGCAACTTTGGGCCAGACTTCGTCTTCAGTTCTCGTGCTGGCGAATAACAACTTCAGTGGTTGCTTGCCACCCAGCATAGCTAACTCTGCTGATACTCTGGAGGAGTTGCTTCTGATCAACGTTAGTTTGTCGGGGTGTTTGCCTCCCGAAGTCGGGTTTCTGTATAAACTGCGAGTGTTGGATGTGGGCTTGAATAACATCGAAGGTCCTATACCCTACAGCATCGCGGGACTGGCGCATCTGGAGCAGCTAAACCTAGGACACAACATGATGATGGGCATCGTGCCTTCGGGCGTGTGCATCTTGCCGAGCCTGGCGAACTTCACTTTCTCTTACAACTACTTCTGCGAAGAGGAAGGGATATGCATGAACTTGACGTCGAAGCACATAGCCTACGACGAGAGCCATAACTGCTTGCCTGAGAAGCCGTTCCAGCGGAGCAAGAAGGAATGTCAAGCCGCCCTCGAGCACCCGGTGGACTGTTTCCAGCATCCGTGCACGGGCGGTTCCCGCGGTCTGCCTGCTTTCGCTCCTGCGGGAGTCCCGGCAGCAGCTCCTCTGCCTTCATCACCCTCTCCATCTCCATCTCTTTCTCCTTCTCCTTCTCCTTCTCCTTCAAGTCACTCCTAGTTTACTTTCAGACTTGGGGTTAGACATATATGGCACTGTATATGCTCTGGATGTTATGTATGTATGTATTACATCACTTTCACAAGTTCATGAAAAATCCAATTTGTGTATATGTCGCGCCTGAGAAACTGATTAATAAAAAGAAAAAAAATGATTAATAAAATGTTGTCTCCTGAGATGACTCATATGAGATTAGGCATATGTTTAATTATATTTAAAACCAGTCCAAATACTTTATTCGGTGACATTCTTTAATTAACAATAAATTTCATTTTGCTATTCTCAATTACCGCGGCTAAATTGGAATTTTGCTTTGTGGAATTAGTCGGTGATCATGTTTGAAGTTAGGGTTAATACCGTCAAAAACCCTAAACTAATACACTTGTGACAAATTTACCTCAAACTATTTTTTTTTACCACAAAAAACCCAAAACTGGTACGCCTATGATAATTTTACCCGAACTATTTTTTTGACCACCAAAAACCCCACACTGGTACACCTGTGACAATTTTACCCCCGAACTAATTTTTTGACCACCAAAAACCCCAAACTAGTACACCTGTGACAAATTTACCCTCCGTTAGTTTTTGTTAAATTTTACTTTCAAATTGCTAAGTTTAGTAACACGTGGTAATTGACACGTGTACCGGTTTTGGGTTTTACCCCTCTATTTGTCACAAGTTTATCAATTTGTGATTTTTCGTGATATTAATTCAATTAGCGAATACTAACGGAGAGTAAATTTATCACAAATGTATCAATTTGGGATTTTTAGTAATCAAAAAATTTGTTCAGGGATAAAATTGTCACAAGTGTACCGGTGTGAGATTTTTGGTGATCAAAAAAATAGTTCGGAGTAAATTTATCACAAGTGTATCAGTTTGAAATTTTTTGTGGTCAAAAAACTAGTTCAGGATAAAATTATCATAAATATACCAGTTTTAAGTTTTTCGTGATATTAACCCTTTAAGTTATCTCATGATAAAATATGTAATGTTTTTCATTCCTTTACAAAGTTACTTAGCTTCAACAATCTCGTTCTAGTTAAGATGCATCTGAATCTAAAGGCAAATCAAATCAACCAGGCAAGAGCTGATTTTCAAGTAATTTGCCCAACTAATAATAACTTTTAAATTCTATTTGTTTCGCGAAAAATAAATAATTTAAAAAATACTTTCATTAAAAATGATTGCTTATATCACTTGTAATAATTAGTCAATAAAAAATATTTCATTATCAACAACAATTTATATCTAAGTATTTTCACGAATGATGAAATTTATTCCATTCAATCATACGAATAACATGAGGTTGAATGAAAATCGAGTACGTGATGATGATGCAGACACATGATATGATATTGAGAACTTTCCGCTTTGGTTGTGATTTCTGTACTTATTGAAATATACATTGTAAGGAGAGCAAAAAAAGAAGAAAGAATCGTGTCAGCTATTTGACTCTCTATAGTCTCTCTCTGATTTAGCATCTACTGCAGTTCGGAGCCGATTACATCATTCATATTACCACCTTCTCCAAAGATGGGCTACAAACAAAATGAGTTGCACCCGAAACCTGAAATCACAAAATACAAATATGCGATTTCAGTAAGAGATCATACAATCAAGAATCTTGGAAGATAAAGTTGAATGAAAGTTCCATCATCAAATTCAGAGATTTGTTTTGACGATGAAAGGCATTTCACTGAAAGATGTCTTCCCTAATACAGCACTTTTTAATTGAAAACCAGTGAGTATTTGCAAAATGTTGATTTAATTAACTTGCACAGAAGTGCAGAGAAAAGCGAGAAACCGAGAGAGAGTTTGTGAATTCCAAACTGAGAACTTCATCTAATTTTCGAAAATTCCTACTGCTATCTTTAGAATTTAGATCAGCCGATAATTGTCATTATTTAGATGGCACCAAATTACTGCGACTTACAAGTTGGCGATTGTGTTTGACGTTACATAATGTACAAGCCGAACAGTCCTCAGGCTGGCGGTAGTGGGCGTCGGCAGGTTGGGCATTCCATCTTTATGTCCATCCATCTTTGCAAGCAACCAGAATGAAAGAAATGGTCGCACGGAGTCACCTGCAAGAGAAATTTCAAACTGTCGTTAGCAAGAAGATGACACACAAAAGAAGATAAAACGACCCAAAGTTGCAGAAGTAAACCATGCAATCATTTGATCGCTGAGTTAGATCGATAGAAGTCATGCAAATGACACAGTCTGTACTGTGACTTGAATCCTGATCGAACCGCCTGTAGTAGCTATATTTCTCTGGCAAAATCTGCAAATTTGCACAAGGATGAGATCTCCATAATAGATGTGTAGTAGATGTGGAGCAGTTTCAGATAAAACAAATTCACGCTGATAGAATGAGGAGTTGACAATGACAACCTCCGTGCACCCGCAGTCGCACACAAGCAGGCATTCATAATTGAGGTTCATGAAATACTCTTCAGAAAACAAAATATCCTTGATGAAATCAATTTCTCTCCTTTACGGGTGTCGCTGAAAACTTCTAGAAAGTTCAGAGACAGTGCAAGCTAAATCCAGAAAGCACGTTGTTCCCATGAATCACCATAATAATAAAGTAATCAGACCCAATTGCTGAACAAATGCTTCAAATGCTCAGAGCGCAAATTCCAAATTTGAACAGTTAATTTTCGAGTGAAAGAATTTTAACGCGAGGCAAATAAGTAATCAGTTCTTCAGTTGGAAAAGTACAGCCTCAGTTCAGTGGAAATTTTGTTCATCAGGGCAATGCATGCCACATGGGAAATTCATTTTTCCCTTCAGCAACCCTATAATATTTCCCCAATGAAACATACAAATGCAAGACGAAATGCAGATCCTTCGAGACTCTCAGCAGTTATCAGAAACATCAAACAAGAGATTATGAGAAAATAAACTAGTAGGGTAGCCGCAGATGAAATTCATAAAGACATCCTACCTGACGAGGAATGAACCATCGTGACCCAAAATAATGCTGAAGAAGTAGAATAGATGCTTGGAGTCCAAGAAATACACCCAAGCATATGCACCAGCTTTTGTCAGGCTCAATCCGCATAAAGTTGTATGGGCAGCCAAAAATGTACAATGGGACTGCTAGACGAGTGACAGTCATGCCTAGGATATAATGAGGATGCAATGGTTTTCTTGAATCTCGGAGGACATTTGTAATTATTTGTGGTACCCAGAACGAGTAAATAAGGAGGAGGATGGGACGGATATAATTATGAAACTCGTACATGAGCAGAATGCCTCCCAGAAGGATCCCATCTGGAAAATCCCATAATTCATCAGTATAAAGGACACCACTAATCAAATCTATAAAAAATTGTAACGCACAAAAGTCAGTTGCAAAATTGTCACAGAAGTGAATTCGCTACTCGCTGCAAAATTGTCGGCGAAGTAAATTTGATACTCGCGCTACAAATAGGGTCCTCTTCCTTCATAATGAGATTTGACCTATTGACTCGGAACAGCAAATGGAAGGTGGAATAATAAAAACTGGTGCATCAGAAAGTGAACAATTCTCAGTCATTAATAGCATGTCGCAATGTGGAACAGATGCATTAAAGGTTCTTTAAATGTGGCTACTGTCATATCAGTTAACAAGCATTCCTTTTTGGACACACAGTTGCTCATCCAAACTATTCTTTCTAGTGACGAATAATACTACACCCTGACCTGAAAAAATCCTCAAATCACATTCATACCTTCAAAACCTTGAGTGGTACAAAAAGCATATCAGAAGTTTGTATTGATAGCAGTACTTACAGAAACGACTATACAACACCGAGAGCTCGCGCCTCATAGTTTCCCAACCCTCTCCGTTGTTCATAGGTCGACTTGCTTTCCATATGGCAAGAAGATACCTCATCTCGAAAATTGAGAAAACTACGAATTTGAAAAATGCCGCAGTTGCAAAAGCATTGAACAAGGACTCTGCATTTCCAAAAGAACATTTTAGGCCATGATCAAGCAAGAGTTAGTCATCATCCTATGTGTCCCTGATTTACTAAAACAGAACAAAAAACTGTACAGAGGAAGGTAACAGCTCAACGGAGAACTCATACTTCAATCTAAGTTTTCACAGAGCAGTCAGAAGAAGAGCTGCTTATTGGGGAGCACTGGGGAGTTAAACGTGTACTTGCTCTCATGAATCATGGACGACACCCAACTACTGGTGCAACGTCATTGCCTAAGAAAAAGCAAAACTGAGAAGCTACATGAATTGATGTCTTAACTTACCTACAAGAATCCCTGCCGTAAGATGTAAGAGGCAAAGATAAGCATCCATAATAGCTTGTTGCCCAATCATTATTATTGAGACCTTGGCAGCTCCCTAGTAGATATAGATAAATCAGTGCACTTAGTACAAAAATAAAGTGAAAGATGATGACAAATTTCTCTCAAAAAATGTGACTCCTCACCGATTGAGTATTGCCATGTTCCATTTGTCGAATTAGGAGGAGAACTTGAAGGAAAGACACCTGAGGCAAGTATGTTAAGGGAAGCACACGAAAGCTTCTAACAAATCATGATAAGGGGTACTGATCATACGAAAAGGATACAAATGTGACCATCAAGGTGTAATTCACTGCTTTGTTATAGTAAACCTCAATGTTTACAGAAGTAGCATTCAGTAGTAAGGGTGCAAAACAATCCCCATCATCATCCACTGAAGGACTCTCCATTAGACCTTCCATTTGATAATGATCATGTTCACCATCTACAGAAGGTGTGAAGAAATCAATGAGCACAAGGACGATGAAAATCGTAATACTCCCGATACATAGAAGCCTCAGAACATATCTATATCTCTTCTTCATAAGACTTCACCAGAAAGAAAGCAGAGGCAGACAAGAAATCATAAAATCTTCCAAGCTCACTGACCCTTTGTGAGCATTCATGGAGATATTGCATGGAGTAAGGAGATATGGTAAAATTAAAAATAATAGGACTCTTAAGTGTATCAAAATGGATCTCTCATAATCACTTCACTAGCAAGTGCCATCAACTGCCAACTAGAATCGAACATTGTTTATGTGTGGAATGAGTAGAACCACCACAAAAATTTGCATTTAAGCATTGATCAT